TAGCCAGGGAGTTATAGCCTTGTCTGGAAAGCTTTAGACTCTCTGCTTACTGGCCTTCCCAGGATCTGCTTTTTCCACTGACTGCTGGATGTATTTAATGGACCCCAGCCCAAATACAATTTTAGTTCATATCAGGTGCATGAGCCTCTGGGAGGAATCTCCCAGTTGTCCCATTTACAATGTTTTGCTTTGCACCGTAGAGCAGTCTTGTACATTGGGTTGGTTTTCTTTCAGGTGAGACAAAGTCTGAAGCAGAGCAGTTCAATTATCTGTCCTTCAATCCATGGCATTACACTAAACCTAGTTTGAAGCAGGACTTTCTGAAATGCAGATGTTGGGGCCTCAATAGTGAACTGTTTTACTCTGTAGATGTTCTGTTGTTAATCCACACAGTCAGCAGGGTAGGCATAACTCTGCTTCTCCTGTTGCTTCCATGGTGTCTGTCCCCAGCACCATGATTTCTGTCAGCCTTGCCCAGGTGTGCAGTTTGACTTTGCAGTGGCTTTATTTTTCTGTTTACCACATGCAGGGCTGAATGGAAGGTAGAAAAGGTTTGCTCTGTACCAATGACCAGTCAGCATATGGTAAGGGCTAGCTGTTCCACTATCCAAGAGTAATCTGAACCATTCTATAGATATCAAGTGTCTTTATTTTCTACTGTGTATATGTTTGGTACTGTTAAATGGTTAATTATTTTATCCTTAACAGCAGATAGTTGCTCTAGGTGCTTGTAATGCCTTCAGTTCTTATCACAGTATATGTCTTTGTGTCATAGTTGGATATTAATTGATCTTCATTTTCTTCTGCAAGTTATTTTTCAGGAGGCCAATGCTAGTAACTGGGCTGTAGACACCTTGCTTAGTGGTCTGCTCTCCTGATATGTTTCAGTCACAGACTGAAGCTCCACATTAGACTCTTCAAGTTACCAAATAGAGTATGTGTTTAAATAATTCCTGATTCAATTTTTGTGCTTTCTATTATAATGTATTTTGGAGACCAAAATAGATAACCTGAGAAAAGAGAAGTTTCTGGTGTATAGAAGGGAAGTCTCTTAGCTGACAGACATTAGAGATTCAGGAACAGAAAGGGAGCACTTTACACCCTGGTTCTTAGTCTCTCCTCTGAAGTCCTGTTGCTGTGTGTAATTTTGGATACAGGCTGCTAGAAGGGTCTTTAGTTCTGAACCTGGGACTTCTTTGTTTCTTCCAAAATACGCAATTGTCTTTGGTGCCAAGCATACAAGACATTTCAGTCATCTTGGAATGGTGGGGAGTTTTTAAGAAAGTGAATGGTGGGGAGATTGTCTTTCTCGGAGTATCTAGCAGGCAAGAAAAAATATTTTAGAGCTGCAGTGTGTGAAGTTATGGTTATAACTCCTACATAAATCCTGTTTTGGAGCCTTTAGATTTTGGGGAGGTGTTGGGCAAAAGGGAAGAGGTTGTTTGCTGAATTGTGGAGCAAGATCAAATGACCTTCTCTAGTTGAACTAGCCGAAGAAACACTTTTAATGACCAGCAACTTGTAGAATAGTATGATTATCTTCTCACTTATTAGCACAGACATAAATAAACATAAATATATGCAGTACATAGCAAATGAGGTTCTGCCCTTACTGAGATGATTTTCTTCAATGTTTTTTAAATGATGATAAATAGTTCTGATAAAGTGAACCTTTTTTTTGGAGGAATAAAACCAATGTTAGAGTATGCTAAAAGTAGAGAGGTAGCCAGATGTTCTCACATGGTCAATTAGAAGTTATGGAAATTGCTTCCTTTACTCAAAGCTATTAAAAAGCATGATCTTTGGAGACACTACTGTTTTCTGACTGCTGGTTGTTTAATTGAGAACTGCAGTTAGTCAGCATCTTCCAGGCCTGTGCTGTGGGTTGGCTTTAAAGTGAGTGGGATGTCTGAGGTACACAGGCAGCAGTGGATTGCACATGAGTGGGTTGCAGTTGAGTAATTGAAGAGTTAACTTTTGCTGTTTGGTCTGTCATGAGGCCTCCCTTCAGTCTCCTCCAGGCTGAACAGACCAAGTTCAAACCAGCTCCTCCAATGCCTTCCCCTCAATGCCCTTCACCGTCTTCATTGCCCCCCTTTGGACACTCTCTAACAGTTCAATGTCTTTGTTACATTGTGGCACCCAGACCTGCCCCCAGCACTCGAGGTGAGGCTGCCCCAGCTCAGAGCAGAGCAGGACAATCCCCTCCGTTGCCCGGCTGTGATGCTGTGCCTGATCCCCCAGGACAGGGTTGTCCCTCCTGGCTGCCAGGGCACTGCTGCTCACGTTCAGCTTGCCACTGACCAGGACCCCAGGTCCCTTTCCATGGTGCTGCTCTCCAGTGTCTCATTGCCTGGTCTATCCATGCATCCAGGGCTGCCCCATCCCAGCTGCAGAATTTGGCACCTTCCTTTTTTCAAACAAGAGAATGCATTTGGTTTTTCTGGCCTCAACCTTAAAACTCTGCCAGAGCTATTCCTGAGAGATGTTTGTCTGACCTGAAAACCAATACTGGAGGAGATTTCCTGTCTAATTCTGGCATAGATTTAGTGCTTCACTGTATCTAACTTTTTTTCGCATATCCCTTCCTGCAACTCAGGTTTGTTACTGAGGACTCAAGTTCTAAGGGAACATTGTATTACTGCTTTCTTTGCAGCTTGCTGGCTTGTAGTGTGCTGGAAGTTACCTCAGTCTTTATCTCTGCTAGTCTGAGGAACCCTGCTGATTTTCCTCTTTTACATCCTGTTGGCTAGACTTCTGATCATTTCCATTACTTGTGCTTGGTCCAGATTTCTCTTGAGCTGCAGCACTAAAAGCTGGATTGAGATGAGCCTTATTTGCATGGTTCCCTGTTCTGCAGCTGGCACCGAGGCTCTTGGGTCTCTCCATGCACTGAAGATACCAGCCAGGTCAAATGGCAGGGATCTCCTTTCCGGGAGAGGATTCTGAAAGCTGAGTGCTGCAGTGTTCAGCTCAGCGGTGCTGGAGTCTCTTTAAGTGTGATGCTGAAAAGATAAAAAGGGTAAAAAATCATTTAGTGCAGCGAGATAAGTGGATATGAGCAGCCGTATTACTTATAAGATGCCAATGGAACAAATTATTTAGAAATGTCTGTTAGTAGAAACTAATTGAATACTGTGTAGATTGGAATATATGAAGCAGGATGCAGCCAAGACTTAATGAGAGAGAGAGAAGGAATTGGCATGTGGATCCCCTCATCTGTTTTCCTTCCCAAAATAGCATGTTTCTAGGGCCAGGAGGGGTAGGAGTAGAACGATGAAACAACTGGACACACAAACACAGTTAAGTGTAATTATGTTGAAGAACAATGACGGTGTTGTTAAATGGCTATAGAGGGTTGCCACAACTCCCAGGAAGCCCAGTGGCCAATGGTGTGAGCAAAAGGAAGTGTTTCCATGTGATTTGGCATTCAGTGGTCATTGATCACTAGCCAACTCTTTCAGCCCTTTCTGTTCTGTTTGTGACAGTGGTATTTTTGATGGCTGAGTTGGAAATGCCAAGTGGCATATTAGCATGCAAGTGCTGATATGTTTTTCTGGTCAAAATACGGGGTTGGGAGTATCAGCTCAAATTTCAATTCGTGTGGTGATAGGGATTGGGTGAGTCTACTTAGCTGTGGCCCCTGAGAAATGCATCACGCTTATGGTTCACCTCTACTACTTTGCAGGAATAGTATGGATACATGTGGGATAGGGAGATCATTTCAGCAAGGGCCTCCTGACATTTTGCATGCCAGTGACAACACAAAAGTGAGTTCACCCTGGAACAGTGTGCTGGGACACGGAAAAGATCTAGTCTTATTAGTAAGGTCTCTGTCTTTATTCTACCCTGGTGGTGCAGAAGCAGAATAGAGATCAATACAAATGATAGATTATTGTAAAAATGCATGATTTCGCTAAACCAGCAAATGTAAGCAACTTCTCGTGTTAAATCCTCTCAGAGGATAAGGAAAGAAAATAAGCAATAAAAAGCATGCACAGATGGATGCTATTCTGACAGTAACATATTGTATTGAAAATGTTAAAAGGATTGCTAATCGCACAAAATTGTATGCGGTGAGGTCACGAGCAGAGTACTGAACTGTAAAGGTTTTCCATTTGTGGGTTAGCTCAAAACTCTCTAATTTGACTAATGTATCATCCAAGGTGTTCTGTCTTGGATGGCAGGCTTGTTATCTGTCATGTATGTGATTTTGTTGGTATAGTGACACAATAGAGGATACATGTGCTGCATTAATAATTAGAATGATGTTCCTTTGTTTTCTACACAGGGACAGAAATCAAGTAACTTACATACATAGAAAAGTGGTTACTCTAAAAAAATGTGAAGGGTTATTGGAAAATCAAAGCAGTCTCTTGGGGACTACTGTTATTTTTATTTAAAATTGAAGGTAAATCTTTTTTTTTTTGGATGATAAGCTGACCATAATTCAAGAGAGCCTGGAATGTAATAATTGTTTAATTGCTATATTTGCACTTGCATTTTCTGCGGAAGTATGCTGCTAAATTGTGTGTGATTCTTCAGTTCTTGACCTAATAACAATGCAAATTTTTTATAAGGTCAAAATTTAAATGTGTAACTGCTGTCTAAGTTTTAAGACAAGTAGAAGCAGCGAAGAGTAGTAGCACTTTTCCTAGAATTTAATTCTCGGCTGTTACTCTAGGGAGAGCATGGATGATAGCTTTGAGCCAGTTTTTTGGAGCCCCATGAAATTAAAAAAGTGTTGGGAAGCCTGCAGTTTTGTCCTTGTCATAGAAAAAAGTAACTTGGCATCTTGGTTATTTGATGTTTTACATTGTTGTCTTGCTAATTTGTCCTTGAGTAGAACAGGCCAATATATTTTATGAGAAAAGGAAGAAGAACCATCAGCGAGGTGGATTTTACTTTTTGTTTAGAGACTTTTTTCCCCCAGGTAAAAAAGGACCCTTTTGTCACTGTTTAACTTTTTTTTTTTTTTTTTTTTTAATTTCAATTTCTAGCTGATAAATTTAGGCGGAAACTGGAAGAACTGGAGAAGGAGAAAAATACTTTAAAATTTCAGCTTCCTTCAAGGCATCCCTCAGTTAGCAGTTTTTTGGATAGGTTCATGACCCAAGTTCAGTCAACATTGCACTGGGCTGCTGATCAGTGGTAAGTTTATTGATTCATTATTGTGTAAAACGATGCTTCTCTTTTTGTCAAAATGCAGAATACGAGTTATGAATAATTATAATAAAGAGTTTTGATGACTGTCTAACGTATCTGTATGGAGCTTGTGTATGGAAATCCCACCCTGTCCCCCCTTTTTTTTTTCCTTTCTACAATTCTTTCAGAATTCCCCTGAAAAACATTGATCATGATGAACTGGGAATCAAATGGAATGTTTCTCACTGATGTTGAGTGGGAATGGGATTGAATCCTTGACACGGCAGCTTGAGCATACAGCAGCAGCGCAGCTTGAGCAACGCTTCCCTGTGGAGTTAATTCTGATGCTCCCTTTCAGGCAACGAAAGGATATTTAAATATAAAGTAAAAACCAGATTATTTTTTGATATGAATAGATCTTTGGGAACTTCCTTTTGTGTGCCACTTCTTAGATAGCAATATTGAGCTCAGCACTGTACAAAGTCACAAAAATAAATTCTATACCTTGTCTTGAAGGGATAACTTTAAAGATAGGAGGAATGTGAGATATTTTGGATGGCCCAAGAGGGATAGCTAAGGAAAAGAAAGTCTCTCTTTCTTGGTCTATTTTCATCCTTGTTCCTAGTTACTGTTGTTATAATAGGATATTTTATAAGTATTGAAAGCTATTCTTAAATGCAATAGTACAAATTAAATAAGAGAAGCCTTGTTTTCTGGCGACTTGTTAATATAAAGGCTGCAGTGTGCTAGTCAATACCTTTGTGTGTAATTTTTGGTAGACATGGAAAGTAGATAAAATCAGTACAGATAATATGAAATTTTTTCATGCAATTGGAGAACTTGAAGGTATTTTTGGCCTCTATAGCATCTAGTAATAAGGGAGTTGAAAAGAAGCTGCACTCCTTCAGACCTGTTTCCTTCTATCTTCTGAGGCTCTAAGAGGCTGTTTTACCATTCCTTAAAGATTAGGATACACCATTCTCTGTTTTGTCATTAAGATATGTTTGGTCTATGCATTAATTTGTAATAATGACTTTGACATTAGAAGTAGTGTTGTCTTCTTTGTCGTAGACATTGAGTCACTAAAGCATCCCTCGGATACAGTTTGCTTATTTTTATCCTGTATAATGTATATATAATGCTTTTATATATAAAACAGATGTTTTAATGTATTTATGGAAGTGCTCCTGTTCTTTGGATGTTTAGATCTGTAACTCTTCTCTTTGCACAGGTCTGAGCAGTGCCATTCTTCAGGGTCAGATGAATATCCTCTTCCCTTTTCTGCCTTGTGTACAATCCTTTCTTTGAGCTTAAGTTCAACTGCTGTTTTTGTGACACCCTTTTATTTGCTTGCTTGATTCTTGTAGCCCTTTACACTGCTTTGTCTGTGGTCTTGACTCATTGATACAGCAAGAGTACCCTTTGTCTTCTGTACAAGGATTTAAGTTTAACTTTCTGTTCCAGCAGTATTTTTGGATAGTACAGTGGAAAACATAACTGCTTCCTCAAGGAAAATTTGTAGGCTTCAGTTTTTGTTTTCATTTTGAATTGGAACAAAATGAATGTATCCAAGAAGACTCTTTTTTTTTTTCACCTGGAAAATTAAAAAGATGATCGGACTAGCCTCAGAAGACCCAGATCGTTGCAATTTTACTGTAGTTGAGTCAATCTCATCTTTTTGCAAGAAAAGTGTGTATGGCAGCTTATTTAAGATATGAAGCTGAAATTCATGCCCCAGTTTTGTTTTATTTGATTAAATTATGAGATGAGTTTTTAAGTGAATGCATTTGATGTTGACACAGGATACTGGGGGCATATGGTGGGAGCCAGATTTGGGTATGTTTAGTGTAGGAACAAAAAATGCTGTGGTTGTGCAATCAGTCAGGGTTAGTGAAATCAGAGAGATCTTGTTTATCTTTCAGCAGTACCAAGCAGACAGATACACATGGAATTTCCAAGAAGGTTCTGAAAATAAACTAAATAAACATTATTAATGTTTATAATGGAATTTTTTTCTAAATTTTGATCAGCCACTTGGAAATTTATTGCATACCTCTCTAGGAACGATGAAGCTCCAACTTGAAGAAGGTGGCTTCAGAGCTGCTGGGAAGTGTGGTTGGTTGGAGCCACAGGAACCTGTAATGATTGTAAGGCACAGTGATGGCCTAGCACCTCATAATAGGGATGTCTCTGGTGCATGCTGTTAATACAGAAATGCAGTTACACTGTCATTATGTCTGTCTAGCTTAATGATACCTCTGTTAGGTGATGAGGCTTTATTTTGCTTTTTCAGTACATTCTGCAGCCCACAGAGAGGGAGTAAAGCATGTGTGTCTTTTGCTGGTCCTGCAGAAGGGATGCAAACCTCTTGTTTTATGCTTGTTACACACCTGTGCATGGAGATCATAATTGCGTGATTAATCATGCTTAAACCAGACTTATGATGCATGTTTTATATGTGGCATGGATGTATTTGCTTTGCAAGATTACAGTGCCTCAATCATGCCTCAAAGCACTTTATTTGAGACACAGTATTTTTTAAAGAAGATGCTAAAATGAGTCTGTACTCTTCACGTGGAGATGCATGCACTTGTTTCTAGAGATGGGCACAGAAACAATTGCCCTTTGCGAGTGCACATGCCCTTAGGAGGGAACATGGAATGCAGAATGGATTTGCATTGCTTGCAGGTGCATTTTGAGAGGCTGGTTATGGAATTGATGCTTAACATAATGTGCTGATTACCTTGGAGTCCAGTCATGCAAAGATTTACAATTGAGGGTTTTACAGATGACTGGGAGGAAACCCACTGATTGTGATTTTGAAAGAACTCACTGCAAGAGAGAAGTAAAATCTGGCATTGTGGAGCAAACACTCCAGATGATCTCTAACGTAGTCTCCAAAAGCTGACAGAAGCTGCAAAAAAGGCTTTGGCAAGTTTCTAAACTTCTGTCTAAGAGATTTTTTCTCTGTATTGATAGAAACTACATGCCTTAGTTTTGTCTCTTTCAAGGCAGTGATGGATAAATTTCTGAAGCATGATAAAGCTGGGGAAGCCTGAAGCTATACAAGCTTTCCATTTTCTTTCTTCATCGTGTTGTAGAAACAGTGTAAATGTTTGAGATAATAAAGGAAGATATGCCAAGGAAAAAGCATCTCTTGTTCTCTAACTGTATCTGTTTGAAATGTAATCATTCTGGTGGTGGAGTGTTATCACTCTAAAGGTAACATTTAGCATTCTGATTATGCTTGAGACACTGAAACTCGTGAAAACCACTCATTTCTACCTTTGGTCATGTCTTTTTTAAAGGGTTAGACCTGAAGAAAATGGTCTTTGTCATGAAAAAGAGCACAGACTTTTGAGATCAACTTCCCAGGAGAGGACGCAGGTTTCGGCCACAAAACGAAATCAGCTTTTTCAAGAAAGGAAGCGGTTACAGGTAACAGGACTGCAAAGTTGTGTATGGGAGCCAGAGCTGCGTGGGGAAAACCTTCTAAGCTGTCACACAGAATTAAATAAATTTATTGTAATAGCGACTTTGCTTCTGTGTAGTAATTAGAGCCTTGGCTGGAGTCCAGTCGATAATCTAAGTGATGATTGGAGATGGCAGCCACAGGAGTTCTGTTAATCTCATTACAGAAACGCAGAGCTGGAAGGCTTGGTGGCTTGTGTGCATGCTTAAACTTTCCTCATTATCTTTGTAAGCATGCTCTTTGTTATAATTTGACATTTTAATGTTACACCGATCTTCAGAAGTTTTTATTTGAAAACTTAGTTTTCATCCATTTCTGGTTAGAATTTACTATAAATACATGATTTACCAGCTTTTGTTCCTGAGAGATGATTGATGCTTTTCATAAGGATGAAGGAATCATCACGGAGCAGTCAGCATTGTCTAACAATAGCTTTACAATGACACGTGATGTCACAACGTGATAGTTTGGCAAATGGAATGTTTCAAGATGGCATGAGTCCAATTTTAAGTCTGCAAGCCTTTTAAGCGAAATTTAGCTTTTTCTTTTCACCATCCTTCAGAAATCTCTATGTACTGTCTAGTTATGTGCTTTTTAAACCTTGGTGATCACACTCAGTGATGTGGCACCTTAGAGAGCTAGCAAACCTAGTTTTCCTTTTTTTTTCCTGTCGTCTTGTCTTATAATATTTTTTTGTGATATTTTCATTCCTTTAGAGTATCCAATAGTATAGTGATGTGTGTTTGTACACACGTAAATTTATGTATATATATAAAAAACCCACAAAGAAATAGAGAAAAAGATTTCATGTATAAAATTGTATTTAGGTGAAGAAATGTCTTTTTTTATCCTACTCATCACCTTTATATTTTTTTAGGTTATTTCATCAGCCAGTAAGAGGAGACATAGTATAGTTCAGCATTATCAGTATGTAGAAAATTTTTAAAATCTAGACATTCAAGAACCACCTGAAGATACTGAACTGAAAACTGCTGTACTTTAGACTACACAACAGCTAATTTTTACACTTGTTTAAGCTGAATCTTTATTCTTCTGTAGTTATACTAGGGAAAAATTAATCACACCATTATATAGGCATGCTATTTATTAGCATTTTATTAAAATTACCAGAAATTCAAGTTTCTGGGGAAGGCTGATTTGTGGTAATTGTTTGTACCCAGGAACTCCTAAAGATTGCTCCTGCCCAAAATCTTGCATGATCAGAAGTAATATTTTTTTAAATTTTCCACAGCTCCACTTTTCTTTATTTTTTCTTCTGCCCTCTCTCCTTTTGGTTTTGTGTTTGTCTTCAGGGATTTGAAAACTTGTGGCAGTATCTATAATTTATGTATTAATGTTTCTACCGCAGTCTCTACTTCATGGAAACCATCAGTCCATAAGTGAAGCTGGAGGTATACACTCAGTACTGATTAGCTGTTGTGTTGGAAATCCCAGTTTAAACTCAAATCTGCAAAGTAAAACTCCAGCTTATGTTTAGTGAGATGAATATCTGCTGCTCCATGCTGAGACTTTAGGCCCTTTTTATGTTTCTTGAGGCTGACCAAGAGCACACTAAAGGCTTCTTTGCATTTCTGGAAAAGAATGCAGGAGAATGCATTTTACTGATTAAAATTTCCATGCTCCCAAGAATGCCTGTGAACTATTCCTGAGCAGAGCAGCTTTTTTTCTGTGAATGAAGACTGTGTGCTTCTGGTATCTATTTATGTTGTACATTTCAGTACTAAAAGTGTGATTGTAAAACCAGATCCTGTTCATCTTCCTTTCTGTTCCCGTGTAGGTTGCTTATTGCAGTGATTGCAATTACTATGTTTTCACAGAATATGGAGGTCTCTGTATTAAGTAGGGCCTATTAAGATTTTGGCAGTATTCCCAAGCCAGTAACACAGAGACAGAATTGTCCTTTGTGCACACTAAAAGCTTAATTTGAGACTGAAAGAAACAAAACTGATGTTTTTGGTCTGCTGACCTTTCTGTCCTTGACAAATGCCTGTGGTTTGAAACATGGACCACAACATTCTCTTCTTGCTATATCTAAAACCTAGCATGCAGGACTATTGTAAGTTAAAATTTTGGAGCTAGTGAACCTTTGAATATGCAAGGATCATTTCTTGTTCTAAGTAATACTTGAGAAGCTGGTTATAGTATGAAAGTATGTTTGTTAACAAAATTAGTGAACTAAACTTCATGTTAATTGCATTGAAAACATGAAAATAATGTTAAGGTTGTGAAGTAAAGTTCTAAAAGAGCAAAAAAATGCTGAAGTCTATTATCTGTGCGTAGTAAATATGTTTTATAAGAGTCTATAATATTGAAGTATGCCCTTTTTTCTACCCTAGATCCCTACCTCATACATAGCTGATGTGTCTGTTCAGATATTCAGAATACCGTTTTATCTTCATTACTCAGTATTTGACCCAAGAACCCTTTTACTGTGTGCCGCTCAAACCTTCTTTTTAATACGGATTTATTAATTTGTGAGTGGGGTCCTTTTACAGTATTAATCAACATGGCATCTTAGCGATTCAAAGCCACTTAATTTTATCTCTTAACACCATTTTGGGTGTTACTGCCATTTGCTCAGATGCAGAATGGAGAAGTGAATTGCCATAAAAAGCCATATGGTTGTTTCTAACGTCAGTTTTGTAATGCCTAGTTATTTACTTATCAAAGATTTGGTTTTGAGTTTTTGGCTTTTTGTTTTTCGTTTTTATTTTTAGTTGGACTGAATGCGATCAGAGGTTGAAATTGAACTTTGATTTCTGTTGAGAGCCTGTAGATAGCATGTCAGAGATCTCTTGCAGGTTGTATAGAAAATTATGAACATATGGTCTGTGGCCATGTGTGAAGATAATAGTTTAAATGGCTTGCAGAGCTTCACAGAGACAGTAAGAAACATATGAATAGGATCAAATACTCCAGTATGCCATTCAGCTAGTTTGATAACCTCAGCAGCCCAGATTCTTTCAACAAGCGCCAGTTCTTTGGATGCAAGCTGTATGTTGGGTTTTCAAGGAAAAACCTGTGCAAGGATGATGTACAAATGCATGAAGTTTTTTTTTAATTTTGGCCTCCTCACTTCAGGAAGGACATAGACGTGCTTGAGCAAGTCTAGAGAAAGGCAGTGAAGCTGGTGAAGGGTCTGGAGCACAAGTTCTGTGAGGATCAGCTGAGGGAGCTGGGAGTGTTTAGCCTGGAGAAAACAGGCTCAGGGGGGACCTTATCACTCTCTACCTGAAAGGATGTTGTAACCAGGTTGGTCTCTTCTCCCAGGTAACAAGTGACAGGACAAGAGGAAATAGCCTCAAGCTGTACCAGGAGAGGCTAAGATTGGACATGAGGAAGAATTTCTTCACTGAAAGGGTGGTCAGGCTTTGGAGCAGGCTGCCCAGGGAGGTGGTGGAGTCACCATTCCTGGAAATTACTTAACATACCACTTAGTGCTGTAGTTTAATTGACAAGGTGCTGTTCGGCCAAAAGTTGGACACAATGATCTTGGAGCTCTTTTCCAGCATTAATGATTCTACAGTTCTATGTAGAATTCTAAAACTGTATTCTGCTCTTGCAAGAAACATCAATATAGTAATGCACAAAACTTGAACTTCTGGAAAAGTGAGTGCAGCTGAGCTTGCAGTTCTGTGCATTTTAAGTCAAAGGGAGGGTTTTTTACTTTTAGTTAAAATGAAATGTAAATTGTCAAAAGGGCTGGGTAGATACTTGGTGATTCTCTGCTTGCATCCTGTGCTTTCATGTTGGATTGGAACCATTAGACAAACCATTGCATTTGATATTCTGCATGATAGATTTTTTTTTTTTATCAGTTTAGCTGCTGGTCTGTAGAAAAAGATTCTGTTGCCATGGGTGATCTGGCATTTGTTTTTTTTTTGGTGGAAGTTTTAACTTGTGAACTTGGGAAATACCTATGTATTTTAAAAGTGAAAGAGTGCTGACAGTAGGTGTTGGAAAAGGAACTTGAAATGTGGTGTTGAAATGGAGGTGGTGAGTTTCAGACTGCTAGAAGCACTAAAGTTTCTGAATACAACTGACATAAGAATTTTGTGTGTCAGCAAGAGGATGTCTCATTTAATGTTTGCTAAACTGGACAAATTTATTTCATGCTACTTCTGATGCTTGTACTGTTTTTTTTTCCTTAGGGGAAAATGGGTTTCTTTTATAGGGTTCATAGTAAACTTTGGTTTTTGTTCTATGCAGAAAGAGATTGAAGATCTCCGAACAAGGCTGTCCGTATTAGAAGGAAAAGATCAACAGCTGAGAAGAGAAATTGAAGAACAAGATAGGCTTATTCAGTCACAGGACTGTGAACTGGCTGCTTTACTTGGCTGCATTTCTTTAAGAGAGCTGCAGGAAATAAGCAAGGCTGTGGATGACACTTTAGCATTCTCCTATCGAATTCCATTCAGTTTAGATCTTCCAGGAGCGATAAAGAGGTATGTAAATTTACAGTCTTGTATCTTCCTGTATGTTCTGCTGAATTGACTGTCAATTGTTTTCTTCATCATTGTGCAGCTAATTATCTGGATTTAGACACTTTGAAACTTCCCAAGAAGAAATGTTGGAGTTCTAATATAGATGTGCTTCCTCAGAAGAGTTTGTAGTTATTTGAATGTCTTGCACTTAATGTTCTTGTACGGTGAAAATCCACCTACAGAAAGCATATGTGTCCATCAACTGTTAATTCCTATAATCAGCTTACACTATTTCTTGTTACCGGGTGGAATTTTTTCCCCAGTTTGATAATTCAGTAATGAAAACGTATTTCTCACAGCCTGAAAGTGTGTACTAAACACCATTCAAATGAACATTAGAGATGCTTCTTGCTTCTGTGACCTTGTAGTTATAATAAAGTCCAATGTGATGAGCAGTGCTAGACTCAAACAGTGGACTCAAGGCAGTGGGGAAGAGGATGCAGCATGAATAATTTTGGGACACTCACAGTTAAATGAACAGTAGATGAATCCTTTCAATAGAAAAGTAGCTACTCTAGGCAGTATTTTGGAAATTACCTCATCTTTATTTAAAAAAGCAATTGAAGTACTGAAGCTGTGCTGGACATTGGTGATGGGACTTTGAAAGTGGTACTGCTGCTGTGTCACCAAGAGAAAATAAAATTGCTGTTTATCCTAACGTACTTTTCTTTCAGATAAGCAATAACTATGTTGCTTGCAATTTTTTTTCTCCCGTCACGTTTATTGGATTTAGTTTGGTTGTATTATTATCATTCATGAGAAATTGCTGCTCATGTGTGCTAATTTATACAGATTATTTTTTAAGTCAGCAGAACATTTTATAGAGGACACATTCTTCTCTTTTGACATGTGTTTAAAATTTGAAATTAGGGTGTGGGAAATAGTTTATTTCATTAAGTTTAGCTTGTTTTAATAATATCTTATACCTGTGTTTCTGAGATTGAGGAGTAAAAGATCTTAAGTAGTCTGTCTGAGAAACTGATTTGAGTTTTCTTAGTTTTGGATTTGCTTATGAAAGAATATTCAGATTATTTTTTTTCTCTCATTGCTGCTGTAATATTCGGGTTGCACGTACCTCATTGGGAAATTATTTAAAAGTGAGTCAAATAGTCTGGGTTCAGGAGGAATTTTCTCTGAGTTGTTTGCTTACTAGCACCATGCAGAGCACAATCACTTGAGAGGAAAACAGGCATTCATTATTCGAAGTGAATTCATAACTGAAATGAAGATTTTAAAATAATTTCTTTCCTTTCTGTTCATTTTTAAAAGCTGCAATAAATGAAACTTCTGTGGGGTTTTTTTTTGTTGGCTGACTTCCTTGTCACCAGTGGTCAGATGCTTCTACTCTCATTCCCATAGGAGGAGTTCTGCTGTTGGGACTCTGGTGGGTTGACCTTGGCTGCACACCAGGTGCTCGCCAAGCCCCTCTATCACTCCCTCTTCTCAGCTGGCCTGGGCAGAGAAAATAAGATGGAAAATCTTCCATAGGTTGAGATAAGGCAATTTACTAAAGCAAAAGTGAAATGTTGCCTGCATGCAAACATAAGTTTTATCCTCTTCTTTCCATCATCAGGTGATGTCCAGATAGTTCCCAGGAAGCAGGGCTTCAGCACATGCAGTAGTTGCTCTGGAAGACAAACCCTGGAAATAATGAATGCCTCTGCTTCCTCCTCCTTTTGTTAGCTTTTGTATCAGCAGACATCCCAAACATCCTATAGTATGGAATGTCCCTTTTGTCAGTGGGAGTCAGATGTCCTGGGTATGTCCCTTCCCAAGATTTTGTCTACCCCAGCCTACTGCCGGTGTGGGAGGGTGGAATGTTGGAGAGAGGATGCAGATGCTGTGCCAGTGCAGACTGGTGTGTTACCAACACCTTTCCAGGCACCAGTGCAAAGCACAGCACTGTGGGGGCTGCTGTGGGGAAAGTTAACTCCATCTCAGCTAACATAAATACAGGGTACATAAATGCAGTTATTTAGCAGTGAGAGTTTATTCAGATTAACAGTGAGCTTAATTGATGGGTGGTTTCCTTTTCAAGCTGTGCAGTCTGTCATACCTCAGGTACAGAGATTTTATGTCAGAATCCAGTCCTGTTCTCCTTCTGTAAGGTGAAAAAGCATCATGCACATAGTAAGACATTTGGTGTGGGTATAATTCCCATGTGCCTATGAGCATCCCCTAGATTGTCATACAATTAAACAATAATTTAGGAGATTACTTGTTTTAACTTCTGCTCAAAGCAAGGCTACAATTTCCAAGTGAGATCAAGCTGCTTAGGGCCCCTCCTCCCTGAGTTTTGTATATCTTCAAAGATAGAGATTTTGCAGCCTTGCTAGCCGTCCTGCATTTCACCACCCTTGCTGTAAACTTTCTCCTTTGTATTGCCAGAATTTCCCTGGTTGCAACTTGCATTGGCTTATTCTAAAAGTGTACTTCTTTTGGAAGAAGTGTTATTTATTAGGTAGCAGGTTTAAATACTTGGTTGATGCTAGTTCAACATACTAGTTTTAAATTCCTAAGTCTTGGCATAATCGATCTGAAAGAGATTTTTCTGGAAATGTGCATTTTATTTTATAAATAGTTGCAGAGGGGAAAAAAGTTTTCCAAAGTTAGAGCTATCTGTGTGAGAAATGAAGTTATTACTCATGCACATGTAGTAGAGATCAGTGATTATTATCAATAGAAAGTTCAATATCCATGGGCAGTAAATTGCAACTTCCTCACTGTTGGGCTGCAAGATACTCTGTATTTATTCTAGCAACATTGTGCTTTCAGTAAAGTACTGCTATAACGTGCTTTTGCATATTTATTTGTTGACTACATGAATTGCATTCAGCACTGGGGTAACACAGACAGGGCTAGTGTGAAGCATCTCTTAAGACAATCTGTGCTGTAATGAATTGTATTTAGTGGTTTGCAGCTCACTAAAAGATAAAAAAATATTAAATATATTGAAGCAAACTTCTTGGAACATGAGAGGACATATTAAAAAAAATACTTGCCCAAATTTTTGCCCTTCTGTGTGGAGGAGGAAAAGAGCAAGTCAGATACAACACTGGGATGAGCGTTATTCTAAGGTTATTTTCCTTGTCGAGTGTTATTTTTTCAGGAGTGTTCTTTGTTTTGTCTTATCTTTGGTATATGGTGAATTTTTTAAATACAGAGAGCCTTTGTCAGTACCTAAAGAATGCTTTGAGTTTGAAGAATTAAGAAATGTTAGGCACATTACCCTGGGACCGTACTTGGGGGCTCTTGGAAGACATGGTTAAAACCTGCTGGTTAATGGGCAGAGAACTCTGTTTTGACAGGGAATTCTCACTGGGGTTGAGACTGCAGAATGTGGTCATTTTGCTCATCCAGACAAGCTTAATTGTTCTTGGTAAGCTAAGGGTATAATCATTATTTTAAAATGGGGAAATTGCAGAGCAAAAGCTCAGTTCACTTGTATGGGGCTGTGTGGAGATGCATTTAAAAGGTGGGAGCAGCTGGTGTTGTGTGCACTATGACACGTGCCAGTGTTTTAACTGAAGACAACGCACTGAAATCAGAGGAAAATGGGCCTGGGTCTTTCAGTGTGAAGCACTTTCTTTTGGAGATTGCTAAAGGTATCCAGATACATAATTTTCATATTCACTACTGGACGCCATTTCAGGAATACATGTTTTTAACTAGCATGACTTGAGTTTTCCAATTATAAAATAAGACCATATTAATTATTTGACCTATTCACTTCAGTATCTGTTAGTTCCTTTATTTGTTTCTTTCAATTTCTCAATAGAAACTAGGGAAATCTGTTATACTTCAATTTGTACTTAGTTTCATTTAGCAGTTTATTTGTTTTATCCATATCTGCAGATGTATATGTCCTTACAGCATGTCGTTCTTAAAAGAAATTGCACAGTCCCATCTGGACTATTGTCTGGGCACTTGATGGCTGGTTGAAAGAAATTCAATTATATGCCTTTCAAAGTATTTGAATGCTCCACCTTTTCACATGGAACAATTTTTGATTAGTAGCAGTTTGTTCCGTGGTGGGTTTGTGAGATCATCTGAAGATAAGGAAATTCTGTTTTGTGTATTAGTTATTAGAGAGTGGCCAGTGGTGCAAGGAACTGGACTTGAAGATTTATGCAGCCAGTTTACTTTTGTGATGCCAGGCTTTTGTGGTGCCTGGAGTTCATTTGAGAAAGATCAATTCAAAATTACATCCAAGTACTCAGGGGGGTGTAAATCTTATTGGAATATGTTCAAAGTACTCAGCATCTTCAGTTGAAGGCAAAGCCTGATAAAGGCAAAAGAAGTGGTGGTTTTTTTTTTTTTTTTGAGAATTTGGTTTACTTGCGAAGTTGGAAAAAAGACTTCAACATAATTTCACATACTAACTTAGGGAAGTAGGATTTCGAATGGGCTGTCATGTTTTGTCATTAGGAGAGACAGCTTGCTGCTGTTCAGGGCTCCAGTGGAAATCGTTCTTCTTGTGGGTGACCAGGTAGAAAGGGCTCACAATCTGGTTGTACTCAGGAATGTGCATTCTCTAAAAGCCTTTGGCACCTAAGAAAGCTTGTGTTTCCTTTTTGCTTGTTGGTGGAGACATTGCAGTGATCTTCTTGATGATCTCAGTGGGGATCTGGCACCGTCCATCTTGCCACTTTACTCCCAGGAACTCGATCTCTCAGGCAGGCCCTTTGACTTTGCTTTTCTTGATGGTGAAGCCAGCTTCCAGCAGAATCTGGATTATCTTCTCTCCTTTCTCAAATACTTCCATTGCCATTTTCACCCAGACAATGATGTCATCTATGTACTGCAGATGTTCTGGAGCTCCACCCTTCTCCAGTGTAGCCTGGATCAATCCATGACAGATGGTGGGACTGTGTTTCCACCCCTGGGGCAGTCGGTTCCACATGTATTGCACACCCCTCCAGGTGAAAGCGAACTGAGGCCTGCACTCTGCTGCCAGAGGA